TTGGCTGGTTTGGAGGAGTACTGGATAGCAAAGGGCTTGTTTGTTTGTTTGTTTGTATACAGGCTCAGGCTTTCTGCTGATTTTAAAGATGCTATCCAAGCTTGCACAATGAAGCTTGCCAAGCTGTACCTGCTCAGGTCCTCTATTGTGCGTGGTGCAAAGATTCAAGGTAGAGGCATTCCCAGATATCAGTGGCTTTACAAGGAGGAAGCGGAAGATGCAGTACAGAGTCTAAGTGACTTCTTGATAAGAAGATTAATTTAAAACTGTACACTTTGCTCATTTAACTTTTTTTTTTTTTTTTTTTTTTTTTGGTGAGCCAACATAAAATACCACTGTAATTTACTTTGGCCTGTGGGAATAACATCCCAGAAATAACATCTCCACTTAAATTCTAGTAGCTTAAGATCTCTGTAGGGCTGCTGCTTTCACTACAAGACCTATAATTAGCCATCCATTATGGCATTGAGCAGTAATATTGAGGAAGCCCATATTCCCCCTGGAGCACTGTATCCCAAATGTGCCAGTGAGCACGTAAGGGATGTGCTGAGGTCCCCCCTCCTGCTAGATCCAAGCAGCACAGGAGGTCTGAATTTCTCCCCAGGGCTTCTTGCAGAGATACCCCATATAACACCTTGCTTTTCTCAGGTGTCTCACATTGTGAGCTTCGGGATTGCTGCACCATACGTCCTAAGGCTGCAGTGGTGTGATCTGGGGTGTTTTCCCTTGTTCTTGTAAGGGATTATAGCTGCCATTCGTGGCTCTGCTGGCTTCTTCTTCCCACCCACCCTGCAGGTGGGCACAGCTCCCAAAACCTTTTTGGTTTTTCTGTTGAGAAAAGAAAGTAACTTTCCGTTTAGGAAGGATGGAAAGCTGCTAAGCCAAGCACTCCTTTCCTCAGGAAGAGGAAAAACTTCCCCAGCCTTTGGATAGAGCACGGCTGCCATGGGGACGGGGATGGCTCACTGGAGCTGCTCCAGGTCTTGCAGTCACCCCTGGAACAGCTAATGTTTTCCTGACACGAGTGGAGGGAACACTTCCAGCTAGCTGGTTTTCTGGTCCAACCAAAGGCTTAGTTCAGATGGAGGGAAACTGCACATACGAAGAATACCCGAATAAAGGGGTTTCTCATAGTTTGGGGAATGATTTTAACATCCTTTCTAACAAAAAACAACAATTTTCTCACATAAAATAACATAAACATATCCCCCACTAAGAAGATGCTACACTTGAATGAGGTCCTATTTTCCAAAGCCTCTTCCCATTTTATTTTCTTAAAACTATTTTCTGAATTAGAACTGAATTTACAGATGGTTTCAGTTGCTTGGAAACAGCATTGGCAGGGTCTGTCTGTGTGTGTGAACAAATTACCACTGAAAAGATTGCTCCTTTCCATGTGCAACCTTATTATCACCAGTACAAACTCCCTTGGGAAAGTGGCATGGAGGCAAACACGAAGCTGATGAGACCAGTCCTCATCTCGACACACTTAGGCACTGAGACTGATGTATAGGTTTTCCTCAAATGTGCCAGACCCCAGGCCTTTTACAACCTCTTCTGAACGACCAGTCAACCTAAACTTATGTTTAAACAAGGCACTGAAACCTTGGTGTTGCAGCTCAGCTCCAACTTCTGATGGCAGTTGTCAAGAACGCCTGCTCTCCGAGGCTCAGCGACATCAGGGATCTGATTTCAAGATAGCTCTTGTGTTAGACCCTCTAGCTTCAAGTGCAAGGCACTGTAAGTAAGCAACATTTTTAGCAAACACTTCATTACTACAGATCAGTGCTACCACACACTCAGATTTGCTTTTCCCAGGTTCCGCATAATGGGGACAAAGAACATTTGTATAAAGCACGGGAAAGTTGGGGTCAAGGGCATGAAAGCATGCAGGAGGTGTCATTTACTGCTAGTCTTTTAAATGTCATTATTTCTCAAAAGCAATACTGTAGCTTGATCCTAGCCAGTCTACTCCAGCTGGAAAAGACACGTCTCCGACCTGCCTCAGATACAAACATACTTTAACTTCTGTCATGCATCTTTGTTGAAAGTATGGCTACAGAGAAAAGAAAGTTTTGACTCAAGGAGGATGCCAAGAAATTCTAAAATTCCCACTGATCTTCTCCATGATAACACTGAGCTGAAGGTTTGGGCAAAATTTTAGTTTAGACCCTCTAATCATTACAATTGGTCAGGTCTGAGGAAAGCATTTTGTATTCCCAGTTAGGTGCAATTTCTTTATGAAGTAGATCTCATATTACTTGTTTGGTGTTGTCACAGGCCTGATCTTTCTCCAGGCTTCTTTAGAAATGCAAGGGTAAGAAGCATAAAGAATGGAAAATATATAACAATAAGTGATTCTTATAAGAATAGGTAATGTATAACATAGGTAATATAGGTAATAGGTAATATAAGAAGAGAGAATTTTTACCTATATGTTGAATGAATGTGTAGGGAAGATGTGTTGTAATAAATAAAGTGAGGGAAGTCACTCTCACTTAGAAGCAGACCTGCATTTTAAGAGGAGGGTGAAAAATCTGGGGCCTCACACAGTGGTTCTGTGGGGTATATGGGGACAGGCTGGAGATGCAAAGACAAGCCTGAAAATGCCTCTCTTCCCTCAGCAAATGGAGCCTGTTACATGCCAGCACTGTGACCAGAGCTTCTCCAACCTCTTCCAATCTTTCTTAAAAGTTCCTTATCAAGTGAAAAACCGCCACTGTAAAGGCAACCTAAACTGTGCCCTGAATAGTGGGGTACAGACTAAAATCATGTGGCTACATGTTGCACCATCTTGTTTTGAAGTATAGTATGTTCTACTCCCTCCCTTCTTAATAATGCATGTTTTTTCCCTCCCTTCTTAATAATTAGGAATTAATGTCCTTGACACCATCTTAGAGCACCGTGTTTGGCAACGATTTACAGTGCAGGCAAATGTTTCAGCTTGCTGTTAAATATGCTCAGCGTTGTACAGTACACAAATAAAGGCTGTCTCTTCCTCAAAGACCTCGGAGTCTGGGAGATAACATGAAAGGGTGCTTAGGAAGATGAGTAACCTGGGGACTGCAGGAGGGGCTCACCTAAGTTACGACATGAAAACTTCTCATCTCCCGGAGCCACTTAAAGAACCTGTACATTTTTGCTGGGTGTGTGTTTTTGGCATTTAACAGTTTTGCAATTATGAAAAAAACAGTGAAGCTGTTGACATTTGTTTGTGCCTAGTTTTGTTAAGACTTAAGGAAGGCGTAGGGGCTAATCCCCTGACACCCCCAAGCCTGCTACAGAGGGTTTCTGCTCAAAGCCAAAAGCTCTCAAACTGCTGGTCCTGCTCTGAGGGATGTGCTTTTCTTCCCACAAACACCTCGGTGGTTTCTGACCTCGAGAGGGATTCAAGGGAGAGATGTAGAGACCCAACGTCGCTCATATGTGACAGAAGACTTTTAATTTAAATACATGAAATTGTTAGACTTTTTTTTTCTTTCTTGCTTATACTTAGGAAAGTTATGAGTCACGAATTAAACAGAAATAAATATGATGTAATCAGCATGTGCAGCTTTCCGTGATGCAGTTTTGCAAACATTTCTCCAAAACAAATGCGTCTCTCTTCAGCCCCCAAGCATGGGTTACGTGCGAGGACCTCATTCACGTTGGTGCCAGGCTTCTCTCTCCCTGGGCAGGCACTGCCGGGGCACAGCAGCCTGTTGCTTAGACCTGCCCTATATCCCTTGCCCAGTTTTGTCTCCAAATTTCTGGAAGCAGAGTTTATCATTACTGGAGGCACAGGGACTCGACACAGACATCCCCAGGTTGTAATGCCTTCTTTGTACATCACCTCCCAGATGGTGACACTTGCATCCCACAAAGGATGAACAATAATTCCTCTTTCCTTCTTAGCATGGTCTAGGCCATATCAGAGGGGGTCCTGTTGGTTTTCCGATCCCACCAGGAGAGCTTGTTCATCAAACAGTGCTTGAGGTCAGGTTTATCCTAGATCTCACAGATGATGCGGTCAATTTTACCTTACCAACACCAGAACAGTTGTCATACTAAGAGGAATAACATAGCTGCACCTTTCCTTTGTGACACACTATCAAAACACCAAATGCATATGAAACGAGTGATCCCCGGTGTGATGAAGTCATGTTCCTGTTGTTTGTATGTAAATGCAAAGTGTGCAGTTACTTTGTGCATCTGAGTGACACACTCAAAGCCAAGCGTGTTTTGATTTCAGGCCAGTGAAAACCAGATTTTCCTTTTGCTGGAGGAGCTGAAGGGTTGGTGGAGCGGGAGGCAGCTAATGCCAAGGTAGAGCTATGCACGGTTCTCGTCATATGTCTTCGAGTGATACATTCCAGAGGTGTTCTTTATTTAATCATGCAGAGATAAATAAGCTACTACTTATTACAAACTAATTGTTTTTAAGCAGCACAGCTCAAAGATAATCTATGCTATAGAGTTCCTAGTGCCAAAGACATCCAGGATTTTTTACATGTAAAATCATGAAACTGCTGTGATGCTTTTGAAGCTTTAACACACACACACACACACACACACACACACGCACACACACACACTTGCCTAAAAACTTCTATGCAAGCAATAAAAACTCTTGTTTGGGTCCAGTCCTTCAAGACGCAACATGGGTAGTTTTGCATTCAGCTTCACAGGTTCGGTCCCTGCAAGTTTGACCTATCTGATAATAGGTTTTTGAACAACGTATTTATCTCCCACTGCAATAAAAAACCCTATGTTTTGAGTATTGATCAGTCTCCTCACCAAAAATTATTTTCAAGGCTAGAGCAGTAAAGAGTTCTGCTCAGGAAAGAGGCTTAGCAAACACACTTTGAAGGGGAAAAAAAAAAAAGACACATTGCTTTTTTCTTTGACTTCTCTAATCGCTGCAGATGTTGTGTAGTCGCACCTACGAAAAGTTAAATATTGTGTCTCTGTAACATTTTTGATCTTCATTAATTATAGCTCAGAAAACGTACAAAAAGCAGCCTGCCTCTTTAATACAAATAAGATTAATTGCACGGTTGTTCAGAAAATGAACCACCAGTAGTTAAACAAAAAATGTTTGTCTTTAAGCAGCCCTTGGATGATTTTTTTAAAAACTGTTACAGGAAGTGAAGAGGCTGCCAAATTACCATGCCCGTGAGCCTCACTCTCATTATCAGCCTAAACGAACGCACACACCCCGACACTTTCATCCTTTTCCAGGCCCAAGAAAAAGGAGGCATAAAAAAAAAAAAAAAATGAAAAACACAACCACCCTTCCACACAAAGAGGTGTCTCTGAAGTCTGGAATGCACCCTGGCTGTTTGAAGAGGAGATTTATACCTGACACCCTCCTTGAAGCTCATTGTCGAGACTCGCCTGCGTTCAAATCAACCGCAGACTGGCTGCTGCAGGTACTTCATCTTACAACGACCGCATAATCTGAGATAAATGCACCGGGAATTGCTCTCACTTTGAGGTAGAAAAAAAAAAAAATATATATATATATATAAGAAAAGAGTCAAACTCCTAATGCAGGTAGTGGGTGGAGGGAGAAGCAGACAGGCATGGGCGGCAGCGGCCACCCGAAGGGCTGGGCTGGGATGCCCGAGCTGCCATCACTGCCTGGGAAGCGATGGCGAGCCAGCTGCCGAGGCAGAACAGCAAATAAATATATTTATTGTCCATTTTGCAGTATCTCTCAAAGGCCAGATAAAAGTTGGGGCATTAGGGTGCCGTTCGCGGTGCAGAACCGGTTGTGGTGCATTTCCCAGGGTGAAGAATTACCACGTCATTTGGAATAAGGCTGTTTTAATTCATGGCACTCAAAAACGTTTAGGAGGAGATATTCTGAAATAGCACTGATAGAGACAAGAAGACAGAAAAAATACACTACAGGAAACATCTTGGTTTATATTAAAGCAAAATCAGAAAATCTCATCTTTCTCTAGCATTTCCCAATGCCTATCTTTGATCCTGGGACCAGAACGTAATACGGGATGAACAGCAAAACCAATGACCCTTAAGGGCTGTTATAACACCACAGAGTGACCCTGCCTTTGAGTTGGACCCATTAGTGTCCTCCAGATTTAACTGCTTTAGGTTTGGTTTTCTGATTCTCCTTTTCAAGTAGTTCAGAGCCAGGCCTGTAAGAGGCTTCTTCCAACATTTCCGGGCTCACAGGGATGTTTGGGATATGGAGATCTGGGAAGAAGGAGCTGTTTTATTCCATTTCAGTTATAGGGCACTTTCTATATTTAGGATTTTAAATTATGGTTTATTAAGGATGCAAATTATGAGCATTCCTGGGACTCCAGGTACTTGCATGCCCCAGCTAGCACATAACCATCATGCTATTAGAAATCTGAATAAAGCAGGTTAAATTTGCAGCAGATTTAAAATGGGGCAAAAGGGAGGGCGGGAAGAGAGACTGTACAACACGTTCAACATCTAGCCACTAGGATGGGAGGAGAAACATCTCCTGAGCTGAACTGACACAACTGCTTGTGAAGTTACAGCATCAATCTCACCTTGGCCACAGGTATGCCCTTCTATTTTCACAGTTGAAAGATTTACCATCTATACATTTTTTTTCTTTCTGTTTTTTTTTTTTTTTTTCCTTGAGGGATAATGTTTTCTATCTGGTGCTAGCAGCAGGAGGTTCTCAAAGAAATCAGTTTCATCAGCCTGTGACCAATGTATTGAAAAATGGAGCATGGCTCCGTGGCAGCAATCGTGGCAATCCGCTGCGGACACTTAGCCTGGAGCCTCCATAATTTCCGACACAGAGTAGCTGAGGAAATAGCATTCAGTATTTCATTCTGACATTTCAGCTCGTGACAGCAAGCTAGAGAGTGCTGCTTGAACCCAAAGTCAAACACAATAAAAGGAGCACAGCTTTACAAAAAAAAAAAAGTAATATTGTGTAAGCAAAGCAGGTTCGGCTTGTGCCACAAGAGAGGGAAACAGAAATACGTGGCTCTAGGCAGTCACTCTCTTGCTACGCCTGTTAAAAATAGCTTACTTGCAAATTTCAAGAAACCCTATCAAGGGCCTCCTAGCCTAATGAGGGCACCACCAAACCAATTAGGCAGCAAACACCCTGGATTCCCCAGCTCCAGCCACTGGAGAGACACCACCACTCTTGTGCCTGCTGCTCTTCATTAGCCCCAGAGCAGGATCTGAGCATCCTTTCCCCTCTCCCTCCTGTGTGCTGCAGTCCTCACCCTCTGCTCTGCCTGCTCCCTTGGTGCAGAGCCCTTCTCTGCAGCCTTTCAGCTCCGTCATAAATTCAAGGTGGCAAAGACATGCTGGGCACGTGCTGCCTCTGCATCAAAATAATCCTACCAGGAGCGCAGTTTCATAAAACTCAGCCTCACCTGCCTGGAGCCCATTGCCACCAGGGCAACGCAGCATCAGCCTCTGCCCACAAAGGGGTGGATAACGCCAAGACTGTTGTGCAAAGTGAAATGTAAACATTCATGTTTCTAACTTGTGAATAGCCACGTCCCACACTGTGCCACATGGGCTCCTCTCCCAGAGCCGAGGACGGGCTGCTCAGCCCAGGCGGTCCCCTGGAGTCATCCAGGCTCCAGTCGGGGACAGCTCGTAGCAGAGGGCTCAGCCTGACTCAGTGCTGTGCCCCCTGTAAGCATGAGAAAAATCACATGTATAACTCTAGCAAAACCCTATAATAAAAAGTGATTTAGCACCGTGACTATTTTCTTGAAGTAAATAAAGGGTTATAGAAGCAGCATTTGTGGAAGATACACCTCGCAAGTGCACAGCAGCAACCAAGGAACTACATTTCTTTTACAGCTTGTCTGAAATGTCACGCTGTGCAGGGACCTGGGGGCATGTTTTAGTGATGCGCTTTAAATGGTGGAAAGGAAAAACTAATTCTTCACGAAAAAGGATGTGAGTAGGAAAGTTGTTTAAAAGACAAAGCCTTGCATGGATAGCAAGCGCTTGTGTGCTCAGGTCTCTTTCAGAATCAGTTTCTGGCCATCTTGGCTCTGCCTTCTAGGACATCTACACAAACTCATGTAAGCTCCTAAGTGCCAAATGTGTATACTGCATCTCAGCCTCAAGAGCAAGTGACAGTTAATTAAAACCATGCACCACAGAGGGCTTATCCTTTCATGATAAATGATGGCATTGACAGATGCATCATTTTTATGTTATGCTTAATTACGTCAAAGCTAGACCCACCAGCGTGCAAAGGAGAGGGTAGCGTTTTTGTTTATTACTAATATGCTCTGTTGGTTACTTTTTTTCTACTCTATTGACATGTAATGGAAAGTGACCAAAACCACATAAGTTACATGCCAGTTAAAAGCATCTCATTTTTGTTGCCATGTCATGACAAACTGTGTATACAAATCTTTAAAAAAACAGCCTTAAAATCACCCTTTCTCTTGGTGCCTCATGGAGATGCGAGTTTAAGGCTGTAAAGCAACAAAGACCAAGTCTCCCCGTTCACCAGTTCTGTCTGTTTTCCTTGCTCAGCCTATTACAAATATAAAGCTTTTCACCTGAATCCCTGAGGTCCTGTTTATCTCTTGCTCATTTATTCTTCTTGTAGGAAAAAGCAAAAGCTGGATACAGAGCTACAAAATGGCTCTCCCTAATTTATGTGCCTAATAAAACAAACTTCTCCTAAAGGGACTAACATCAGTCTTCAAAACATTAAGACCAGATTTTGCTGCCCCCACTCAGAGAGCTGCATCGACAGCTGAAATCAGTGGGCCTGCTACGAGGTAAATGTATAAGCACAGTTCGCAAAGTCTCCCAAATAAAAACCAAACAGTCTGCAATGAAAGTGTTTTTTTGAAGTCTACCTTCAGTGTTCAGAAAATATTATGATTCATGTAGACTATTTTTACTTCAAAGCCATACAAAAGCCTGGAAATGAAACCCTAAGACTACCACATTCATGCCACCTATTACTCCTTCACTGAAGTTTGCCCCTGTAACATCTTGCTCCTAAATCTCAGCTGTGCTCTCCACTTGCACTCTAAGGAACTGTTCTTGAACAGATTAAAAAGTACTGTGACTTGGTAAGAACTAAAGGCTTGCATACGGGATATGGTTAGCACATTTCAGAGGAGTATATGGTTTCCACATATCAATTTATTAGTGGAGTAGTAAGACATACTTTGAGTGAAACGGGACAACATCAAATACTCCCTCTGTTTAATTTGGAACAGGGAGCTCCCGTCTCTCAAGCGAGTGCCAAAACCACGGGGTTATTGGATATTTGCAGGAGGGATTTTTTTTTTTTTTTCATCTGGGTGTATTTCCCCAGCTCTAACCGGATCCCAAAGCAAACGGGGTTTATGTAGTCATTTTTCTTTCCCCCTGCTCACTTGCGTGCCCCCAGCCCGCCTCCCCCGCAGTCCTGCCCAGCCGGCGGATGCAGGGAGAAATGCTTCATGGTGCAGGTGGCATGCCCCAGCTCGGGACGAGGCTGCCCTGTGAGCCACTGACAGCTTCACATGGCAGGAAAATCTTAGCAAGTGTCCCAGGGGAGAGAGCTTCAGCCACAGCTGGCAGTCAGCCGCAAGACACTGATCCACCAGAAATCGACCCCCATCCACGCTGGTGCCCCTGGAGCTGCTTGCCTTGTAGCTCTCCCTAATTCAAACTATCCTGGGCTAATCTGTAGCACATTTTCACCAAGAAAGCTCCCTGCTTTGGCAGGGAGCAGATCTGGGGACCAGATTTGTGACAGGAGCAGTGCCATGACAGACTTGAGCACTACCTGTGGAAGCCGCATGTGGTGGCAGCGTCCTTGCTACTGCCAGAGCCTGGGGAGAGCAAAACGCCTCAAAATGGAGGCCCTCAGAAACCAGCACATGTGCTTTGGCCATGACTTCAGCAAGGCTCTTGGGAACAGGAGGCTCCCCCTGAGCCCCAGGAGCTCTGTGCTGTGCGGGTGAGGAGCCCTGGCACAGGCTGCCCAGAGAGGCTGTGGGGTCTCCTCCTTGGAGGCCTTCCAAAGCCGCCTGGAGATGGGCCTGGGCAGCCTGCACTGGGTGGCCCTGTTGGAGCAGGGCTGGGGCCTGGTGGCCTCCACAGGGCCCTGACAGCCTCAGCCATCCCGTGGTGCTGTGGTTCCATGAACTGGCTGGGGACTCAGCATTGCAGACCAGTTCTCCAGGCTCCCCACCAAGCACACGCTGTGGATTCCCTCCTACAGGCCACATTTCTCCCACACATCACTAGTGCTGCACCATCTCTTTGTACTTAAGACCCCCCTTGGCATGACACAAGGCCAGATACCCCTGCCTGCCTGCAGAAAGCATCCTCCTTTGTTTGAACATCAGTTTGAAACTCTTCTTTGACAACTGTGGGCAAACTGGGAAAGCATCATGCAGACAGGGCTGCCCTGAGTCCCCACCAGGCAGCAGCCAGCATGGCCACAAGGGCTGTCCTGCTCTTCCCTCTTGAAGCCTTTCTGCTTTGCATCAGACAGTTTTTTTTCTTCTCTTTCTCACACAGGTGACTCCCAAACCCAGCAACTGGGGCACCACCTGGGATAGTGTTTTGGAAACTGGGGTCCAGTTCTTACTCTAATAAAAATTTAAATATTTTAGATTGAGTGTTCCCCAGAGCCCATATCCCCATATACCCTGGCAAGTACGCTAGCCAACAGCATTACTACTTTTTTTTTTTTTTTTAGTGACTCCAAAGAGTTACTTATGCCTAGAGGGATGGAAAGACACCTGCTCCAGAAAACACAAGAGCTGTGAGGGGGGCACTATGGTGAGAGAAACAGCTGAAGTCTCCCAGGCAGAGGAGGACACCGAGGCCAAATCTCCCTCCCATACCCCACCTGAACTCTGAGAGCATGGGCTAAATGTAAAAGTGCATCCACTGTCAGCAGCAGGACTCACATGTGATGTGAGGATCTGCTCCTCTAGCACAGCCTAGGCCAGGTATAAAGCATGTCCAGAAGCACAGGTTCAGGCATGCAAGGAACTCAGTGGATGCGAGCGTGGGTGTTAAGGAATGTAGGCACCTCTGGGGTGAAGGGGCAGGTGAGCGAGGTGTCTGAGGATCTAAAATTTAGAGCTCAGCATGTGAAGTGATGGGTCTGCGAGGCACCCAAGTTCCTCAGTGGGATTAAGTCTATAAAGATGATCTAAAAGAAAGTATCTGCTTCCCACCCCAACATGTTCCTGAATCAAAGTTTCAGAGAGTGCCTGTTATTCTACGCGCTTTTCACACACCCATCTCTAATTGCTCTTCTGTGATTAAGGAAAAGTGTTTCATCTGTATATATGAAAAAGGGTGAAAACTCCAGATGAAAAACATAGCGAAGTTCAAGACAACTGTTTATGAACTTTCATCTGTTCGGCAAAAGCGGACATGTCTATGCAGCTAAGCAAAGGTCTAAGCATAACACTTGTTAAATTAATGCAGCTAGCATCAGTAACGATAGGGAAAATACCACAGATAGCAGCTTTGCTCCTGTATGTATTTCTGGAGAACTTGGACTTGAGCTGTTAGTACTGCTTTTGCACTTGTCTGTGCAAGGGGAAAAGCAGATGTCCTTCCCTTTCACTCATTTTGATTTAACTAATATGTTTTTTTGCAGCCTGTGCTACAATTTTACCTTTTTAAAAAAAAAAAAATGTCCAACTCAGACATGGACTCAGGCAACAGCAAAGGAAAGCACAACATCAGCAGTCTGCTAAAAGAAATGGCAAAAACATCCATGACATCAGGACTCAGGAAGCATCCCAAGTCTTTGCACTTAAGTCTTTCCACCAAGCTTGTTTCAAAAGGGATGAGGAGAAAGTTCTGAAGGAATAAAACAACTCCAAACACCACACTTCCCACTCATTTTCTTTGCTTCTGTTTTAGAATTCCAGAAGAAAAAGCCATACACGCTTACAAGAAACTACTTACTTGATGTGGTAAGCACAGATATTATTCTACCACTTTTTTCTTATTTTATTTTATTTTATTTTTTTTTTTAAGAAAAAACTTTGCCATTACTTATATGCATCTCTGAAATTCTTCAGGGATGCTTGTATAATTAGGAAGAATTTACCGAATTAATAAGGCAGAGTACTTTGTAAAAGCATTAAAATAATTTGAGAGGCACACCCAGGCTACGCTGTGAACAATGTGTGGAATTGAGCGAGGCTGTAACATTTTGCTGAGAGTAAGCATTGGCTTCCAGAGCAGACAGTAGTTTTTACCAGGTGTAAGCCCGTCACTTTTCAGTCCCAGCCTCATACAATGATGCTGTACAAAGCCCTTTTAGCCACTACAAACCACAACAAGTTCAAAACCTGACTCATGTCTAGAACTTCGACTGGCTTGCCGTTACCAGCTTAGTCACTGCCAGCAGCCCTACATGAAACTGCTAATCCCGTGGCATCCTCAGCACAGTTCCCTCCTATGGGAATGCCCTGGTTAGTCAGCCTCACAGAAAGGTAGGGTATTGTGATATTTCTCTTACCATTGTGCCGCTTTGTTCTTCCTGCATTCCCATCTTAATGACTGCACGAGCTGTTGGCCTTCCACGCTTTCTTTGTGTCTATGTAAATTCACCGTTTGATGCTGCAGAGGCGGAGACGATTTCTAAGTCAAGGGGCAGGTGTGAGTGAAGGGAGCAACCCAACAGCCAAACTATTTGAAAAAGAAACCTTTAATGTCTCATCAGCTCAGCACTTGAAAAAAAAAAAAAAGCCTTCATAACTTGCCTGGAAAACTGGAAAAACAGGGTGTCTGGCTATAATTTAAGACATTAATAACAAGACGATATTGCAGTTCCCTGACATATTTTGACTTCAGCACAGCAAGAAAATACTATCTTAAAACTAGGTCTGGTTATTATTATGTGAAACACTGTCGGTGACAGAGCAATTACAGAAAGTTTGATTTGTTTCTCATTCACTTCAAATTTTGATGTTTTCATTCACATTCAAAATTTTAAGAAAAGAGCAGTGGGTTAAATTTTATGGTGCAATTGAAAAAAAAAGTTGTTCTTTTTCTTTGTTGAACAGACGTACCGACAAGTATTTTGGCATGACCAGAAATTGGAGAGTACTTACAGTACAGTACTGTGATGACTTTAGACTGACCATGGGCGTCAGAAGTGTTCAGTTACCACTATGAGCACATCTAAAACTGCACCCTCGGGACCTGACACCCTGATTAGCCAACAAAGTTACAGCAAGAAGTATTTTTCACCTTCAGGCTTGGCGCCTCCTTTCCAGCATATAAAGCATACACAACGAAGCAAGAACAAATGCACTGTGCCATGATGGAACACAGGGCAATATGAACTGTGTGAATTTCCACAGTCTTATTTTTATTTCTATGGTCCAGAATAGACTTTCAACCATTGAGCTAAAGCTTAAGAAGATGAGTACTTGCTTATTTGGCACCACTCGTCTATCTGAAGTTACACGTGTGCTTGTAAGCTCTGCCATGTAAGTCATGATACATAGAAAACAGCCATGTAAAGCCTCTGCACATGCATCTTTACATCCATCACAGAGCTCTCAACCAGAAACCAGAAGTCAAAATGTATTTCTTGTGTCCTGTTGGACTCATTCTTTCTGCTGAAATAATCAACTTTTGAGACTGTTGCCTCATCTAGAACATTTTACGATGCTAGTAGATGGGTGAATGCAGGCATCCTGCTCTTTATGCCTTCAAAGCTATCACGTAAAGATAACAGTGTTTTCTTTTAATCTTTTTTTCATTACTGAATATTATGCTTACAACAATCCTGCTTTGCTACAGATGGTTTCCTGTTGTTTCTGCCAAATGTGAAATAGCTATAAAACTTGAAAAGGTTTTGATGCTGTCACTGCATGAAAAATTGCATCTACGAGGGAAAATTAAATATGAGCCCTAGCCTTTAATTGCTTTAATCTTACTTGGTAAGTGAACTTTTTTACCCCCACCCCCAACTCAAAGCTTCCGATAACATGACCTGAAGGGAAAAATATAGCTATGTATTTTAGTCAGGTAGAAAGCCTTCATTAACAAAAACAAAAAAGAGGAAGGGGAAGTAGATAATTCTCATGTCCAGACCAACCAAACAGCCACCAACACCAGCTAACAAGAGCAATGCCTTTGGCTCTGCGTCATAAAATATGTAAAGTCATTTCTGTTAGAAGACAGCAAAGTTCCTGTTTACAGTGCTATAATAAGGAGATCTATCATCTTAGCAGACAAATTACTAGAAAATGGCTTACATACTCCCAAGAGAACAGAGCCTTTGCTCCTTGCGTGGGCAAATCTCAGTGAACTCGGTGACAGCTTTGCTTGAATGCAAAAGGAGTAGTAAGAAGCACTTCAAAGAAAAATTGAATTTTATATATTTCTTATTCTATAGGGAAAACTGTTAATGCTCTTTATAGGCATAGATTCAGTGTTGTATGGGAAAAGGACTAGAGCAAAATCTTTTATCAGCAAAGGCGTAGGACAGGCACATTGCTTGCACAAGTGGAACATCACCAACAAATGGGTGAGCTACATGGCTGCTCTCAAATATCTGCCAATATTTGACTGGCACCCCATCAACACTCTCATATTCGAGAAAAAAAAAAAAAAAAAAAAGCCAAAACCTGCAAGCATTTAACCACATCCTTCTACCAACAAGGCAAGGCTGTCTTCATTGCCATGGATCTGTCTGTACAAGCACTGAGGGCAGAGGCAAAAAGAGTAAATAAAAGAAACCGCTGTCATTTTGAGTGCATTTGTCTGTCTGTTGCTGTGCCTGATATCTTAGGGCTCTGCAGCACAAGAAACAAGTGCTCTGTATTGGAGACTTGGCAGGCACCCATTTCTGCAGGAAGAAAGCATGCAACTGTAGTCTCACCTGACCAAGACATCGGGCTTGAGCTTCACAGCTGCTCAGCCCTCTCCTGTTCCTTCCTGGGGAGGGATCTGGTACCTGTTCACCACAAGAATAGTTTCGCTCACGGTGGAAAGGGAAGCTGGGGGAACCGTCGTTTCTTTTAACCTGTGTTGACTTTCCCTGCTCTGCAGGCTGGAATTGAAAAGCTGAGACAGAGGTGACACTGTGTGCAGGAGAGAGTGGAAAGTGTGTGCTGTCCTCAAGCTGCAGCAAACTGTCTCACCTCCACATGGACATGCCTCACCCACGTGCTTTATCCCCAAGGGCACCTCTTCAAAGTGCCCCGGGCATTTCCCCACACCGAGGTACTGGCACCAGAGTTATCTGCCTGGCTGTTTAGTTTGACTTCCACTTACGCTCAATTAAAAGCAACTTTATACAAGCTCCAAGCAACCTGCACCCCACAGCTATGGACAAACCCCTGTAGCTCAGCCCCACTGTGATCACCGAGAGGACTGGTGAGCTGGGGGCTGCCAGGGTTCAGGAGCTGCCTGGACCTGCGTGGCCAACGTGCTGGACCTTCCCTGAGGGATGGAGCCGTCTCTGATGGCTGTTTCCTTGGGCCAAGAAAACATTCGTGGGCAAGAGCCTGCTCTTTTTCTTTCGTAGTGTAGCCTGTGTACATCTGGGCCTTTGATGATGGTTGGATACGGGCACGTAGGTCCTAGTTGAAGGGCTACTGATGTTGTTGGAGAGTCTCCTGTTGGCTTCACTGGAAAGAGGATCAAGCCCCTGCGTGTTTGCTTATTTCTTTATTTATCACCAATTTTGCCATTTGGTCACCAGCTGAATTATTTTCACCTTTCACATTCAATTAAATACCACAAAATGCTAGTGCAGGACTTTTCTCAAAACCAGCTAGAAACCATGATAGAAAACACAACCCTGCCACATCAGAGACGTTCTTCATATACCGTACGGTATTTGCATCTAGGTTTCCTTGTTGCTAGCCAATGCCATCTGTTATCTGTTTTGGTCTGCTTATGAGAACTGGTAATTTCTGAAAATTGAGAGCAAGGCAAGAACAATGGCTTTTTCCTTTGTATTTTATGTCCCAAAGAAATGAACTGGATCTACACATGCACACAAAAATATACCCCTCCAATTGGCAATATGCTAGCATATGCTTTTTCTGTATGGAAAATTTAAAGAGACAAGGCCCATCAAGGGGAAATATTTGAGCGTAATGAAATAAATGTGCGCCCCACAATGCTTGGATACTCAGTTCTGCTTTTGTCTCTCTTGGAGGGTGCTGACGCTCAGACTGGCTGATGGATTAAGCAGTGACAGCTGAGATGGTTGCTGCCCTCAGCTGCGCGCTCTGCCCCCTCGCTTGGAAATTACTGCCCTCCTGCCGCCGGCACAACTGAACGCTTCGTGAGCCCGATTTCAGACTGCCAGACTTCACGTGAACCTCGGCTCACGCCAGTTCGCCAGCCCGTAAACTCCTGCGAAGCGCCGAGCCATGCCGGCCACGCAAGTGAAAGACCAAGAAAAGGAAAAAGGGGTGCCTGGGCCAGCCAGCGGGCAGCAGCCCACGGCGCATTCCCTCCTATTTTTGGAAACACAAATGTGCCGAGCTCAGGGGACCCATTGTCACATGCCACCCCCTAAGCAAAGAAATGGCAAAATGTCAAGTGACAAAGACGAGAACGCGTCCCCAGCCTTTTCTCGGGGTTTTTGGTTTTTCGGTTGGTTGGTTTTTTCGCTCTTTTGCAACTGCATTTCAGGGACAGTATTAAAATGCGCTCAGCACTGACTAAACTCTCTTCCTCTGAGGTCTATTGCATATTTTTGTTAACTCTAAGAAGAGAAACTTTACTTTAGCATGATAATTTCAAAATCCTGTTGGTTATAGATGGTAGGTTTCAGTCCCGGGTTTGAGGATGCTGCCTGTTTCACAATTCCTAACTGTAGCAGCCTATAAACCAGCATCAGATAGTTTAACACAGTCTGACGTTTTTAGCCTTTCATCTAGTCTGTTCCTCATGTTTTTGCAGTCCCAGTTTTTGTCTTCCAAGATGTGTGATCTGGATGCACAAGGTCTTTTTGTCTCTTTCTTTTCAGTGATGGAAGCCAACTCCGTGAAACCTCAATTTACCGGCTATTAATATGCAGGCATCCTTCCCTTACAGGTCCTTCTGTCAAGCAGTGGAGTGTGTATACAGTTGTGAAAGAAAGAAGGAATATCTCGCAGATATGCATTCTTGTCTGGATAATTCTAAATATTGAATCCTGAACTATTAAAACTGCTCTTGCTTAAGATTAAAAGAAAAATCCTGGTAGTCAATCTGCAGATAATTGTATGCTGCCTAACTGGCACTTCAGTAGTTTTTCTTTGTGATATATCTGAAGGAGGAGATGGATGCACTGTCAGAATTAAAAGCTCTTTCAGTACTTGGCCATATGTTTCTGCTTTGGTCCCCAGCCTGTTATATAGCTGAACAGAGGATAGAGGCTGGTCTAACAGAGCTTCATATTCAACACAACCTCTAGGGGAGGTGGGAAAAAAAAGTGAATCTTTCCAGGGCTGCTTCTTACCCTAGAGCTGCCTTGGACCTGGATTCAGGCAAGCTTTGCAACACCATGTCCTGGCCATAAAGCCTAAAGAACCAGAGGCTCATTAACACAATCTGCAGGGGATGTACATCCATCAGCATTTGCACAGCAGAGACAAAGGCAGTGAGGAACTGGAGCTCGTATATCTTCATATGCCAGGTTCCAGCAGGGAAGCAAACCTCTCATTGAAGATTGGTGGGGAAGGGCTGGATGCTGTAGATTTGCAGCTAGGCTGATTTTGGCCTTCAAGATCAAAAGGATCTCAGGTCTACCCGCATTTCAGGATGCCACAAGTGTAGTCAAGCTAAGCATTATAAACTCTTTTATTTTTCCTCCCTGTCTCTCCAGTGGCCACAAACCATATCCAACTAACATTCCCAAACAACGGTTTATACCACACATGTTTATTATCAGAGCAGCTCTCGAGGACCCTGGATAGTTGTTTCATCAAGAAACCTCCTAACCTTGCGTGCACAGCAAGTCAGGCAAGGCTAAGCACAGACATCACCAACTGCTGGAGAAGCTTTTTGTGGTGCAGGGAACAGGGCAACATCAACCTTCTGAAAAAGCCTTTTCACTACAGAACTGACACTGCTCTGACAGTCTCTTCTGCTGTGCAAAATCTTACTAGGCCTTCCCTCCCAAAAAGGAAATGAGCAGAATTTAAGGCAGCAAATCCAAAAAAAAAAAAAAAAAAAAGCTCAGCTCTGCAGAACTGAGACTGAAAAAGAATAAATGCCAGAAACTCTATGAAATCCACCAGGGACTTGGCTATTGGTTTTGCAGTGCAGATGGTCAGACGTTAGGGTAATGTGGTAATGTAAAACCTGTTGCTAGATTCATGGTGGATGATTCAGCTCAAGCATTGTGGATTAACTTCATAGAAGACCACTTTTGACAGCTCAAAACCGGCATTTACGGACGTCAGATCAGGAGGATGTGGCCCTGACTCTGTCTCCACAGAGATTTGAAAATCCACTGGCAAAGCTTTAACTTCTTTAAAAGACAATAGCAGATAATGCTTTAAAATAGTCTTTGTTTATCTTTTATTCTTTTGTTTCTAATGGACTCCTTCTGAATTTGAGAATAACATCCTCTCTACTTTTGTTCTGATTTCCATGGTGGGAGGAAACAGAAAGATCTGAGCTACATCAAGTCAAAACAAATGTGTGCAATGTTAGCATGGCTCAAGAAGCAGTGTTTGATCACTAAATGCTGCCATGGAGCCAGCAAGAGCTGGGCACACCAGCCTTGTGGGAGCTCTGCCATTGACTGTGTGGGCCCAGAACCTCTTTTTTTTTTTTTTTTTATAGAATAGGGTAAGTGATAAATCAAACAAAAGAACAACAAGTTCCTTGGCCTCCAAGTAGTACTTGGACATCCTAGTTTTCTGCTGTGTGAACACAGGTTCTTGGCTTTCCAGAAAAAGTATGGCCATGTACTATGTCCATATGGTGACCACATGGTCAGGCCAGTAACACTTGTAGAGGTGGACAGTCATAAATGTTGCAATTCCATTATTTTTTATCTGTCTAATCCTTTAAAGGGACGTATCCCATTGGAATGCACATGACAGGAAAGTGTCTCTGTTTTTGCAAATGTCTCCCTGCCCTAACAACTTACTGGCCAGAACAATTTGTGTATTAGGAAGGAATCGTTTTCCTCACCGACAGCTGCTGCTCCAGAAGGTGAAAAGGGACACCCGTCATCTTTTGAAAGCATCATAAAAAAAAATAAAGAATACCGGTCTTTGAGGGCCAGGAGGATAGCAGAAGAAAACGAACACCTAATTTGGAGAGCAACACAGAAGAAGAAAACGGATACATTTAACATGAGCGAATTGAAAGGCTGATATACCCCAGCTCTTCACAAACAACTCATGCAGGGTGTGGTCGTGCTGGGACCTTCTTGGTTTATTCCGCTATAGGCAGAAGCTCATGTTGCAATTTATCTACCTTTTAGCTGAGAAGAGAAGCGGCATAGATATGATCTGAAACCCAGTTCCATCCTAGCATGGTTAAAGGAAACAACTATGTTAAGGATACTGGAGGGGAATTCCTCTACTGATGACAACATGAGAAAAGCATTATCTTAATATTCATCTTATCTTCAAAAGCTTATGCTGCTATTTTTTGAAAACTGAGACTTGGACCATTTATCTAGTGTGGCTATATGGGTTCAATTAGAAACTGTAGTCAATGTCAAAATATTCCAGTCCTCCAAGAACTGTCATCCTTACACGTAAAGATGCCATGTTTCATGTGAAGCCATTTTCAGAGGAATTCTAAACACCGTTACGGTACAATCACATTCAGCTCAACACTTTCAGTGAGGTGATTTCCACCGCATATGATTCAGTACGATCCCTTGAAAATGACCATTTCACAGTTTGACATGAAAAATTAAACATCACATGTTTTCCATCTAGGTGTAATAGAGAAAAAAATACCTATTTGTGGCAGCAGTTTTCTATAAAAACCACCTATAAGAGAAAGAGAAGAAAAAGGAAAAAAAAGGAAAAGACAAAAGGAAAAGGAAAAGGAAAAGACAAAAGGAAAAGGAAAAGGAAAAGGAAAAGGAAAAGGAAAAGGAAAAGGAAAAGGAAAAGGAAAAGGAAAAGGAAAAGGAAAAAAAGCATGTGCTCTTTTTCTGTGCACATTCTCATTCTCATCTGAGCTCTTTGATGAACTCAGACTACATTTTTATGAACACCAACACAATCATGTCACACCATGCAAACCAAAAGAGCTGGGCCAAGTTTTGGTAACAGTTTTTCTTGTCAGTTATCTCCAGTGGAATTTGGTTCATGGGAGCTTACCTGAAGGAGAAACTGTTCCCACCAGGTGGTGTGGAGCCAACCTGGCTGCTGCTGAAAATAATATATCTCCTGTTTGGTTTTGTCTCATTTCATTTCATTTCAAAATTAGTTTCTTATTGGTGTTGCTCTTCAATAGAGGATACTGACACTTTATATTCTTTTCAGTTTCCACTTAGGCATTTATGACAGAAAAGAAGGAAGGACTGAGTAATCCTGAACATAGTCATAGGGTTTGAGACCATTTTGCAAAATGACATCGATTTCCTTTTAAAATTCATGATCTCCCATGATTTTTCTCATAGAGATGCCCTAGAGTTCAAACATTTGCCCAAAATGTTTCAAGATCCACCACACACAATTGCAGCACACAACATTGTCTCTCTCCTCTTCTGTAGAGGAGCGGCAGCAGCAGCCATAGGCCTCACCTATCCCAACAAACAGCAGCCGTAGGTGTGAAAGCTTTCCTCATAGCTGGAGGCGTATAAAGTGGTTTTGGGTGGCACCCCAAGCAGGCACTGATCACTAAGCTCCTTGGTACCATTGCGCTAGATGCTGAGCTCAGCCTTCATCCCACGGGGAACATATCTGAAGAGCAACCTAATGCCCCTCTGTGTATTGTCTAAAGCACCGCAGGTTGTAAAAATGAAAACACACTTTCTCTTGGGCATACAGGCTGCCTTTTTGCTAATCCACAGCATCAGTGCTGTAGTCATGGCAGTAGCAGCTAAAACAACCGGCTCGGTATCAGTACTGGTCGTAAGTCACACAAGGCTCAGGCAGGCTGCTTGGCTCTGCTGCTGGGGTAGGTTTTACAGCCCAGGCCGAGCTCTCTGCTCTCACAGAGGTAGCTGAAATGGGCATTTCAAAGCTGCTCGGGTACCACGAGTACAGTGCACAGTGCTGGGAGTGCATGGCAATGGCACTGCCACCCAGGAGCTCCTGGGAACCCGCTTTCCTCTCCAGACCTCAGCTCCACAGCACTCTTACAGCAAGGCCGAGGAAGCAGGGAAAATAAAAATCAGCATGCTACAAACATGTATTCACATGTACATGCAGTCAGCCTCAGCGCTGCCAACGCTGTGGTAGCTGGTCGTAATTTCCAATGTGCAGTAACAGTCTGAAGTGCACAGGCAAATTAGTTCACAGTGTTAACAGGAAACCCCAAACAGCAGCCCCCCTATCCTCTGGAGAAACACGTACTGCCACTCCAGTAAAACGATCTGCTGGACCCACTGGTGTTTGTGAACTGGCCAGAATGTCAAAACTTCTCATATTAGATAGATCTAAAGCACACTCAGAGTGAGGAAACTTTTAACGAAAGGCACTACCACGATCTCCAGCTATTAACCGAAGATGCTACCAAGACCTCCAGCTACTTTCCGGCACTCACAGAAAAACGCAGCTCTTCATTTTAATGCCGGGAGCAGAAAAAACTCACAGAACAGTAGATCGTGTTCAAACAAAACCTAAACCCGACCTGATTTCCAGCAACAGCCCCCAGTGACAGAGCAGCTCCCACCCCAGAGCTGCCCCAGCTCCGGGGAATGGGGGCAAACGCGCTCGACGCCAGCCTACCTCGCGCAGATGGGGTCACCACCGCCGAATCCCAGAGAGGTCCTCCTGCGGGCACAGGGCTTGAGGTGACCACTTGGATGGGCTCTCACAGGTGCCAAGGCTCGGGCACAGCCAGCGGGCTCGTCCTCTCCTCGCAGAGCTTGTCATGAATGTCCCCAGCTCGATCCCAGGGATCTCCAAACCACCGAAGCCCTCAGCTCTGTCGGCCCGGCGCTGCCTTCGCAGGCTCGGAGGGCTTCCCAAGAACTTCTCCTTTCCTGCTTGCTCTCTTCTGGGGAAGTTTTGCAAACTGCAACGAGCAGGAGAGGGCTCCGCTCTCTGAGGAAACTCGCCTACCCCACCTAGAGGTGCAGGACGAGGAGGCGCCGAGCATCGCCTGCCCGCCTGCCTTCCCTCTCTGGCTGGATTTAGATTTTACTTGTGAGTAGACAAAAAAAAAAAAAAAAAAGAAACTTCTGCCAGCCAGGACTTGGAATGAGCGCAGAGCCCGGGACGTGGAGCAGAGGAACATTTCTGGGAATGGAAGGAACGAGGGGGAAATGTGCTGATCAAACTGGCTTCCATCTGCAAATACCAGCACAGCAAAATCAAACTATTCTGCACAAAAAGCTTGATTTTGAGGGAATTTAGAGTGACTCCCAGAGGTTTCCCTTCCTCACTTTCCTGCCCTGCAGCAACAGGTTTGGGACCCCCAGACTTTCCACAGGACTCCATCACAGGACAGCCTGGGAGACCCCAAGAATCACTGTGTCCCCCCGAGCTGTGGGCAGTTCAGAGCTTTTATACAATTCTAAAATAATGACATTGATTAAAAATGTCACAGCTACCTTTCTGAACTACTGATTCATTTCTTCCAAAGAAAAACAGAAATATTCTTACAATGTTGAAATTTTCTGTGGGTTGCAAATTCAGGCTGTTAACCAGCTTTGTTTAAGGGAATGCCTGTTATTTCTGCAGAGATGGTGTTCCCTACAATCAGAAAATGGGAAATAGCCTAGATAGATAACATTATTTAACACTGAAGTGAAAATAAGCTTAAAAAAACAAGAACCAACCAACCAAAAAACACCTGCAAATGACTTGAGTGCGACCACTGCAGTTAACTCAGAGGTTGTAAAGGAGAAACACATCAACATTGCAACTATTTTTGTGAGCACCCAATACCTACTGTGGAAAGCTGAGGGTGTTTGGTAGACCAGTGGAAAATATTTCTCAAAGGAAACCTTTCACCAACGCGGGGATATGAGATTCATAAAATTTGGATTGCAGTACATGCAGTTCTTATAACCACACAGCTGACCTGACTGTCACCATTCTGGTGGGCATCGAAAATGGGTGCACTTGTTCTTGTCTAACACATACCAAACCCTATGTTATGAATCAATAAGCATTCAATTATAATTGGGCATCTTTTCATTTTATCAACTAACTTTATTAATTATTTCATTCAATTTAATGGTTCCAGTTGTCACAGACTGACCCAAGAGCTGAATTGTAGGTGGCTACCTACTTACCTGCAGGGAATAAAATCTTATGGATGATATCATGATGACACAGACAGAACATGGCTAAGCCTGGCTGACCATCCAAGGGGGTTGTTTCTCTGAGCAGCAGGTGAATTGTTCCTGGATTTAGTTCCTTGTTAAGATGAGCTTAGATGAGAGGCAAAGATGAATGCAGGAATATCTGAGCAGGGCAGGTTAACTGGAAATGATGCAAAATTAGGAAAAAGGTTGCCTCCCTACAGCCCACAGGATACATCCTTTCTGGAGAAGAAACAAAAATAGCAGGACCATGAAAACCAGAAGAAGATGTGGAGCAGAAGACAGAAGGAGCATAATAGGTTTTTAGCCCTGTTTCCTCTGGAAATAAGGTTCATGTTCTCAGCATTTGTGTCCTCCTAAAAACTTTTGAAACTACTGACCAACAAAAACATGTCCTCAGAAGTCTGTAACAACAAGCAGCTGGTTAAAGACAGTTGTCCCCAGTTTGTTGCCCAGACTGGGCAACCATGTGAGCACACCTTATAAAAAGGCAGCAAATCCACGTGGAGCAAGACCTCACATATTCCCCAGCCACCCAAAAAGCATACAACTTAGACCACACAAGTCAGTCAACCCACAGGACACAAATCTGTAGGAAATCAGGATTCATTAGTTACAGTACTTCTGTAACAATATGTTTTTCTGTGGATGGTTTATCACACTGGAGTCTGAGAGGCACCAGAGGATTTTATGTTTTATACATTTAGCCTAAATTATGTTAATTTTCATTTTTCTGTTTCTCTCAGGCTTCTAAGCAGAAGGAAATCAAAACCCACAACCACAATGCGCTCTCGGCTGCTTAACAGCCCTGCTGATCTCAGGGCAAGAAGGGTAAAATCCCAGTGTAATGCACATTCCCAGGGTCCTGCCTCTGAGCAGACTCCCTTTGGTTTGGTCTGGAAGTCCACATCCCACTGGGACCCAAAGCCAGCCCAGTGGGTATGCTCAGCAAGGGTGCTGAGTGTGTACCTTTTGCAGTGATGAAGAGCTGTGTGTGAAAAAAGCTCATCTTCTGCTGACTCACTCACAATAGGAAAGTATGTATGAAAGAAAAAGAAAAGCTGCCTTTGACAAAAGGTCTCCAAAATGATAGCATTTTTTAAAGCTGTCACACCAATGGCTGGCATCAGGCACTGGGTATCAGGCTGAGAGGATTAAATCCCCCTTTCAGCCCCTGTGACATCCACATGTGTCCTCTTACTCTCTGGAGCACCCAGCTGGAATGGGGGGACTTGCAAGCATAAATGCCAAATAAGTGTATGAGGGCACAAGGAGTGAAGGAAGGGAGGGCTGTCTGTGATAACCTAAGGGCTCAGCCATCTGGACTGTTGAAACTTCTTACTGCTTACATTTTCTATCGGGCTGAAGGGCCCTGTGGCACATGGGTATCTGTTGTCACATTAGTGGCCTTCCACCCTACCCTCAGTTCTGTCAGAGGCAGCACAAGGGAAGAGCATGTCAGTATAATATTCCTGAAGGTTCATTCAAAGGGCCCACATCTTCCAACAAGTCATAGGAGAGGAAAGGAGGCATGGAAAATGCCTGCACTACATGTATAAAACAGACAATATTATTGCCTTGTGTTTTGTGCTCCCCAGTACAAGAGCAACGTAGAACTCCTAGAGAAGGTCCAGCACTGAGCCATGAAGATGATTAAGGGATTGGAGTATCTGTCTTATGAGGAAAGAGAAAGTGAGCTGAGTCTATTTAGCCTAGAGAAGAGGAGACTGAGAGGGGATTTTATCAACCTCTACAAAAAAAAATGTAAACGGGACAATGGGACAATGTAAAGAGGATGGGGCCAAATTCTTCTCAGTGGTGGCCAGTAATGGGACAAGGTGTAACGGGTATAAATTGAACCACAGGAGGTTTCATTGCCGTATGAGGAAGAACTTTACAGTTCGAGTGACAGAGCACTGGAACAGGCTGCCCAGAATGGCTGTGGAGTCTCCTTCTTTGGAGATATTCAAAACCCTCCTGAATGCCATCCTGTGTAAAATGCTCTAGGTGACCCGGCTTGAGGAGAGGGGTTAGACCAGATGATCTCTGGAGGTCCCTTCCAACCTCAACCATTCTGTGATTCTGTGTTCTTCCTGCTGTCACCAACTAAGTAAGGCTGACGAGATTCTCCCTTTTTGTTGCTCCCTCCCCTTTTTCTTCAGGGGCTAGAATCCTCCAGCATCATGGTCCTGGAAGTTCCTTTCTCCTTTTGTAGTAGAAAAACATCTGCTTCATAACTAAAGATGAGCAGTCTAAAAATGATATCTAAAGACACAGAAGTTGTTGTTCACCTTGAGGCAAAATACTGTGAGAAGGAAAAGTAACATAATTGAAGAGAACATCCTAGGAATGAAAATGCAACACTTCTAGGAATGTACTCGATAACAGGCCCCCTTCCCAGAACTTACAGTTATTTCCTCAAAATATAGAGTTGCTTACACACATCCACAAAGGGCTTCCATCTTCCATTAATAGCCCACCTGCTGCAAAAGCCGATCCTGCTGCTGTTAAACTGATGACTACATGTGAATCTGCTCAAGCAAAACTTCTAACCCTCTTTTTTTTTTTTTTTTTTCATTCAAAACCCACCTGGTCACCTCAGTCAGCCCTTCTCCCCCACATTTCTTAACTCTGTGTAGTTGGCAAATAGGTTCTGCCCTTAACCTGTTCTCTCTTCTTCCCACAAACCACAGTATTCCCTTTCAGCTGCTCCATTTTTTTTTTATTAGGTCTGAGAAAATACATGTGGGTTTCAGTCTGTGTAGAGGCTGTCTTGGAAAAGGCTTCTTACAGCCAGACAGGGCTTGGTTTATCCCAAACAACGTCTCTCAGACACTCTTCAAATTTTATGGACTCCTTTTCTCAGTTGACTTATTACAAGATCTCAGCCTTAAAGGTATCTGGGAACTGAAGCTGATGACTAATAGTCACAAAATTCTACGAAACATTTGGAGACCTTCTTTGAAGTCATTAGGCAGACTCTTCCAGTCTTAAACAAACTTAACACTTTTCTAACTTTCAGAATTGCATCTTTCTACAAGGAAGGCAACAAGCATCTGAAAATTATGAAGCAATTAGCTTAGCTCCAACACCAACAGTAACCACGCTGTTGTTTGTAATACATATTTGAAATAATTAACACCATATTTCTGTGCCTTCTAGAATGTATGTAATTTACAATTGTATTATTCGTGAGACTACTTTCCTAGAATGAAGACCTTGTGGCAACAACTGTAGAAGTAGTTAAACAGAAACCAAGTACAAACTGCACTTTGCACTGTTGCTGAGAGAGAACACTTCATGTGTCACAGGAGATTTTCTGCACCTCCTTTCAAAAACTCAGATGGCTTTGGGGAAAACAGAAGAATTATCCAAGGACAACCCTTTTTCAAATGTAAAAAAAAAGACAAGAGAAGAGAGGGAGGAAGATAGAGAAGAGTTGAGTTGAGAAGTTAGAATCACAGAACTGTAGGGGTTGGAAGGGACCTCAAGAGATCATCGGGTCCAACCCACCTGCCAAAGCAGGTTCCCTAGAGCTGCTCGAGGGTAGGAAGGCTCTGCAGGAGGATATGGATAGGCTGCACCGATGGGCTGAGGCCAACCGTGTGAAGTTCAACAAGGCCAAGTGCCGAGTCCTGCACCTGGGCCACAATAACCCCAAGCAGAGCTACAGGCTGGGAGATGAGTGGTTGGAGAGCTGCCTGGCAGAGAAGGACCTGGGAGTGATGGTGGACAGTCGGCTGAATATGAGCCAGCAGTGTGCTCAGGTGGCCAAGAAGGCCAAAGGCATCCTGGCTTGTATAAGAAGCAGTGTGGCCAGCAGGGCTAGGGAGGTGATCGTCCCCC